CCCGGCTCAGGTCGGCTCAGCCCGGCCCGGCTCAGCCCAGCCATCCTCCCGCCGTCCCCCCTCTGCCCCTCACGCCGCCCGCCTCTTACACGCTGCGGAATCCCATGGCCTGCTCCTACCGTAGTGCGCATGCGCCCCGCGGGCAGCGCGCATGCGCGGCAGCTGCCTCACCGCAGCGTGAGGGAAGCAGTGGGACAGCGCGCTTGGCTTGGCCGCCTGACTCGGTCAAAAACCCCGGTCAGGACATACAACTGAATTCGCCAGCACCCAAAATCCCGCTGTGGGCAGGCTTCCTGTGTGGTTTTGGCTTTTTTCGTTTGTTATTTTGGACAATCCCTCGTCACCTCGCTTCTGCTTGCAAAGTGAGGCGGCGCCGTATCGCCGCATTTTGCTTTAAACTAGACAGATAAAATAACCCACAAACTGAGCCAAACCATCGTTATTCGTGCCTCCTGGAAACTTGGATTTTTTTCGGTACAGCAGCAGGCTGATGCTATTAGTAGAGTAGCCATCACCGATTCGCTGAAGCCAGGGCCAGGGGAGGGAGTGTGCTGGTCCAGAGAGTCCCCAGGAGCTGCGGGGGCCAAGGGATGTCCCTGCTCAGCAGCACCGTGAACTAATCACACACACGGCTTGGGGACACAGAGCAGCGCCGGGGTACAAAACTTGGCTCCAAGCGCTGTGTCTTATTCCAGTTCATCAATGTCTGGCAGCCACACTGAGGGTGAGCCATGTACCCAGAGTGGAGCTCACTGTTGCTCCAAGGGCTAGAAAGCTTAAAGTTGGAAGCTGCAGAGAATCTGAAAAGGCTTAACTTTATTCAAGATTTATACAAAAATTATTGAATAGTTTGGGTTGAAAGGGACCTTAGAGATCATCTCATTCCAAGCCCCCTGTGATAGGCTGGCACACCTTCCACTAGACCAAGTTGCTCAATGTATCCAGCCTGGATTTAAACACTTCCAGGGATGGGGCATCACAGCTCTTCTGGGCAAAGTGTGCCAGTGCCCCACCACCCTCACAGAAAAGAATTTCTTCCCTATATCTCATCTACACATATGCTCTTTCAGTTTGAAAGCATTGCCCCTTGTCCTGTTACTACACATTTTTGGACAAGCCCCTCTCCTTCTAAGCTCATTGTAAGTACTGAGAGGGCACAGTGAGGTCTCCCTGAAGCCTGCATGGAGCATGTAATGGACTTGACAAATAACGGGCATGGGAGAACAGCAGCTTTTAACCAGGCAGTGAATTACTGGGAAAACCAGTATGCCAAAAGGTATTGCATTGTTGGTGAGAGCTAATGAAAACCAATGTTTTCAGTGCTTGCTCCTTACAGAACTTTGAGATGCCAAAACTGGCATTTAAGTGATATCACTCGCTGCAGTTCTCTCATCAGAAAACTTTGTGCAGAACACAAAAGGGAGGGAGTTTCTGTCACGTTCCCAGGCTCACCAAATACCAAGCTCACCAGTCACACCTAGCAGGGCAGCAGTCTGGGCTATCGGGCTGTGCTGCCATGAGAAGCACGGCTTTGTAAGCATACTCTGACCACTGAAAAAAATGGGACATATGGCATCTTGAGTCAGTCATTACAGAAAAAAAATTGTTTACTCAGAGTAAAACAGACAGTCTTTTGTCTCCCTGGTCAAACAGCAAACAACATTCTATCATTGAGTTTCTACTGGAAATTAAAACTTTCTCAAAAGTATGATTTGTTTTAAAAGAACAAGAACCCCAAATGCTTTGATTTATGGAAATGAGAAACATGCTTTGTTTCGTGTCTCTATACGATTCTGCTGGGAATGAACAAGAAGCGCAAGACAAGCCCCTGCTTTCTTCTTGTGTCACCAGAAACATGTTCGCTCATAATGACTGGTAGCATTATTGTTTTCTTTGGGAATTTGAGCATATTATGTCAATAATTTGATTCTGTTATTTCCTGCCTAATTTTTAATTCTAACGGAACAGTTCACTCAAAGGTAGAAAATAAGTCCCGGCCTTGTCTGCCACAAGCGATGCCTTTGGCTCCAAAGCACCAGTGGGACGGGTGTGCTCGTGGCAGCCCCGGCAGTGACATCACCGGCTCGTCCCCGCAGGTAACACTCGCGCGCACCAACCCGTGCCGCCACCAGAGGTCGCCGCGTCCGCCCGGACCGCGGCCACATCCCCGCGGGACGCTCGGCTGCGGGCACCGGGATGGGCCGGGACAGGCATCCCAGCGGGATGCGCGCCCGCCTCCGTGCGCCGGCATACAGGCAAACTGCGCAGAGTCGCGGCGACGGAACCTTGGACGGAGCCGTGCGGCCCCACCCGCGGGGATGGCGGCACATCCGAGCACGGGGCTCCGGCAACACGGGTGGGCGCCGGGATGCCCACACCCTGCGGCAAACGCCATCAGGAAAGAAGGCTGCGGCATCCCTTGGGGCAGCACCCGGCTGCCTTTGCTTGGGCGGCGGGAGGTGGCGTGGTCAGGGAGACGCTCTCAGTCCGCCTTCCCCGGCTTGGGAGGGCGAGGCTGTCGCGACATTGAGAGGCAATTAGGGAACACACCGAAGGCTTCTCGCTTGCCTCCGAGGCAGAGCCCGGCGGAACCCCGCAGCAGCCGCTCACCGCAGCTCACACAGCCGGGGGCCTCCCCCGAGGGCAGGACGGGAGACAGCGGCCGGGACCTCCATTCCGGGATGCGGTTCTTTCGGGAGGCACCTGGTTGCCCGGGCAGTGAGCGCCGCCCGTTGCGCCGCCCCACGGGCCGTGATGCTCGGGACAGCGGCCGGAGCGGGATGTGGGGTGACACCTAAGTTAGGACACCCTGACACACCTTTTTGGGGTGTTTTTTATCCTTTCCACCCCCCATCTATTTATGGCTTTTTTTAACTATTTTTTTTTAATTTCCCCCCTGCCACGCTACGGGCGTCCCTCCGAACACGCTCGCATCCACTGAAAGCTGCTCCCAGCTATGCCGACCCTGCATGCGGCTCCATCTCCCAG